GGGTGTGGGTGAGTGCTGCGAGCGGCACCGCGGGACCCCCTGGGTGGCCACGGCTCAGCAGGAGATCCGTGGTGCTGTCGGTAGGATCGGGCGTGCGGGGCACGGGGGTCTCCCGGGGTCCCTACACCCCACCCAGCCGCCCGTCCTGGCAGGGAGCGGGACCAGGAGGGGATCTCGTCCGTTCCCCGCCATCCTTCAGGGCCGGACCAGCTCCTCCCCATCTCTAGACTCATCTGCAGGCTTTGCCGGGAAAACTGCAAACGCCTTCAGAAAGGGCTCAACCCGCCTTAAGCCTGCAAAACTGGCCGTTGCACCGCGCTCCGGTGGCCGGGGTCTGGGGCGGGGGGGGGCGCTGGTCCCGTGAGGCTGGCGGTGCCAGAGCCCTGGAGCCTTGTTTCAGCAGCCCTGGAGCTGGGGATCAGGCCCAATATACATTTGTCTTTTCTGTACCTCTGACCCTAGGGCTGTGTTTCCCACGTGGCTGAGAGGCAGCGTATGGGTCTCTTGTCTTTAACCTGAGATCACAGACTTGATTCTTTCCAGAGTCAGCAGAGTGAAGAGTTGTCAGGACACTGAAGGAGACGGAGGAAAAAAGGGGTAGACTTAGGAAGGAAGTTGATAACTCCAAAGTTCATGATTGGTAAATCATAACTCTGTCATATTAAACAAGATTTTTCCTGAGATAATCTCATTAATGCTAATTACTTTATATGGTTGCGTAGATGGCAATCAAAGGCAGAACTTGGGGGCTAAAAGATACCCTTCCGCTCACATGGCCTCATTCTTGAATTACCAAGACTTTGGCCTTTAGATATTGAATCCTGAACAGGAGCAACATCTGGTAGGTCTTTTGTTTAAGTGTTAGCATAGCTGTTATATAAGATTTTCTTGTTTTATTAACAAGATTATATAAAAATTGAACATATTTCTGAGTAACACAGGGAGAACACAAGAAAAGTTATCCATGTGGGAGTGAGTATCTTTAGCCAACTCTGTCATCAAGTGGGAAAACAGCATGTAATGGAGCCAATCAATTCCTGTTTTTTAAAAAAGGTGTAATAGGTCACATAAGGACATATCCTTTTGGTTTCTTATTGCTTTTGTAGGGCATGGAGGGTCAGGAACTGCCTTATGTGCTAATTGACTGTATAGGAGGGAGGTATGGAGTATATGAAGATCATGCTGAATTTATGGAGAAATATTTTCATCTCATCACCATGAAAGAATATCTTGAAAACAAGAAATTTCTCAGCAAAAAGATCAGAGCTATTTATATGTGGTATCACAAACCAGTTATTAATGAAGAGCTGCTCCAGAGCTTGCCTAACTTGAAGATAGTTGCAAGCTCTGGAGTGGGAATAGATCATTTGGACCTGAACCTCCTCTCCAGCTATGGTGTAAAAGTGTCCAACACTCCATTTGTGGTTTCCACTGACACTGCAGACTTGGGGATGGCTTTGATGCTGGCATCTTCCAGGAGACTTGTGGAAGGTAACAACTGAAATGGTTCTAGTCTTTTTATACTGAAGGTGACTCATAAAAACATGCAGTTAGAAAGTGTGTGCTGATGCAAAGGTAAGCCTGAAAGTAGAAATACAGGAAAATATTGGAATGAGGAAAAAGACAAATCTGTCGTGTTGACAATAACCTGCACACAGGGCATGCTATTTTCAAGCAGGCGTATCAGCAAGGTAGATGCATTCCTTTTTCAGACAGCCCTAAATTCAGGCCTCTTCTCCCTCAGCTCATAACCACTTATTTGTTGTATTTGTTCACTGCAGTCTTGCTTTTCAAGTTTCAATAAAAGGGGATTAACAGGAGATATTTTCAAGGAGGCTTGAAACCTGTCTTTGCCAAGCTGACATGTATCTGAGTCATTACAAACAATCTGTCCCGAAATCTGTCCACCATGTTCTGTGTTTCTTTTTCCTGCCAGCTTAGGTGTATCTGCAAGATAGCTGGGAATCATATTTAGGCCTTACTGAAAGTCTTGATGGTACTACAACTGATTTATCAGTTGCACCATTCAGTATTTACAATGTAGGCACTGCCAGTTTTGTAAGCCCTGCTGATGAACCACCACGAGCAAGAAGCTGTGTTGCCGAGGTGTGTTTCAATGGTGCAATAAGCTGTCCTGCAGGCAGCGAGAGATGATGGGCAGGTGTGTCACGTACATCAAAGGGAGGTTGCTGCTTCGACCTTACCTTCCTTGTCTGCCAAAGAGGGGCTGGGTATGTTTCTATGCTAAGCAAGAAATCAACACCAGATGTCATGTTGACAGTGCAACATTATCCACTTCTTGTCCAAAAAGACAATAATATTACCTTACTGCTCTTGCCTTGTCTTACAATAAAGTCAGTAGAAAAAAAGTAACCAGATGCCAGGACATCCTTCACATGACATACTTCTTTTCCCTCTTCCAAGGTTATCAGCTTGCAGTCTCCCCTGACACAGAGTATTTCCCTGCTGACTGGCTGGGGACTGAGGTTTCTGGGGCGACCCTGGGGATTGTGGGAATGGGCACCATCGGCTACAAAGTGGCTGAGAGAGCCAAAGCCTTTGAAATGAAGATTTTGTACCACAACAGGAATCAGAGGTAAAGCTGGTTGCAGCTCCATGGAAAGTCTGTTTTGTCACTGCTTTAAAACATTTGTACCTTTCACTGTCAGATTGCTCTCCGGTTCTCTCTGTGTTAGGGTAGGATGATGTGCTCTCTGTGCTATTAATTATTGTGTCAGGAAACGGTGAGGGCCACAGATTGTGGCCAGGTTCACCCAAAAGTCCAAACCATCAGGCAAACTCATGATGATAAGGTAGGGTGGAGGCCAGGCTGGGGCTGAGGGGAGCTGGAGACCATCCCTACTGTGGCATCACTGGGGCAGGGGCTGACACTGGGGCAGTGCCGAGGAGAGCTGTCATGGAGTCCTGGGATGTGGGGGAGCCCCGGGGGGCCGGACAGGGACAGCCAGGACTGGTGGTGCTCTCAGGGCCATGCCAATAAGTCGCTGCCTTATTATTGGCTCTTTAAGTGGCAAAGTACATACGCTTGCTTCAGGATGGTCATTCATTTCTCAATTTATATGAAAGAAAGGCAAGAAGGAATGAGAGAAATCCAACTCACTGGTCTCCCCATGAGTCAGAGCTCCCTGGGCCTTCTTGTCATGTTGGTGACATTGCAATAGACCGAGGAAAGGAGAAATAGTCTAGGAGGACCTAACTCCCATGACTTAGGTGAGGCAGGGACGCAGGCAGAGACATCCTGTGCTTTCAGAGCCAGATGACAATGAAGAGCCAAACTTGCCAGTCCATTTGCTGACTTCCAGATGAGGTGTAAGCGCCCTTCACATACGCTGTGACACCTATCAGGCCCATCCTGTCCTTTTCTTTTGTGGGAATCTGATGGGGGCGGGCAGTACATGCCCCAGTCTTGTCCTGACATGGATTGAATGCACAGGCAGTTCCTGCAGCATGTGGTGTCAGTGAAACATGTACAGAGCAAGAAGACTGCTGCTGACACAAATTTCTGAAGATGTAAGCCCTGCCCTGTCTTGTGGGTTTCCTCAGCAATTTTTAGAGGAGTTTCTTTTCACAGGGAAGGGACTTCATGTCAAATATCCGTCTTGCTTTTGAGTTGGTAAAGAATCCTTGTTACAACCAGAAGCTGTGACACAAACGCGTTTATATTATTATTTATTCAGTGCATTTACATGATACTCATTTCTGAGATTTCATCCCCACAGGTATAGGATTGCACGTTTGTGTATGGTGCACTTGCTATTGTGGGAAACAGCTTAACATTTTTCTTTACTGTTTCAGTCAGGTAACTAGCTAACTGCTTTGCACTACTGAGTGAAGAAGACAATTAAGAAACTTTTTCTCTAATGGTGATTTGAACTTTATCTTGTTGCTTACTACTGGAGTTTAATTTTGGATTTTTCCCCTCAGAAACAAGGAAGAAGAAAGTGCCATTGGAGCTATTTACTGTAAGAAGATAGATGATTTGCTCCAGCAGTCAGATTTTGTATTGCTATCTGTGAACCTGACTCCACAGACACACAAACTGATTGGGAAGAGGGAGCTGGCGCTGATGAAACCCACCGCTACTCTCATTAATATCAGCAGAGGTAGGGTACGGAATAAAAAACTGCATTATGGTTTGCTGACATAAAAGGACCTGGGAAAAGCCAACCCTAATACAGAGTCTGTCACACTGAAATTTTCAGTAAATTCTCTGATTACTAGATTGTTTAGATGTCCATGGTCATAACTCAGTAAAACATTTAAGCATTTCCATAATTATGAGCAAGTAGTGAGCTTGGAGTGTTAGAAGCCCATGTATATTTGTATAATCACCTACTTAAGCTTTTTATTTATTTAGTGCAGTGTTGTTGCTAACATAAATCAGGGTGGCACAGCCCACTCTGAAGTCTGGCACTGTACTTTGTTTTATGGTGTTATGTACTGCCTTTTAAAATTCCTGACTGTCTGACTCAACCCAAGCTTTCTCCTCACACTTCACCACACTCTCTCTGCTGCCTCTTCTGCTTTGTATACGTTGCTAGCCCTGCCATTTACCTGACCACTGTGCCCAAGAAGATGGTGAGAGAACAGCACAGAACATGAAAATAAAAGTATCCTTCTTACTGTAAACCAGGTTTGGTTGTGGATCAGGATGCTTTGGTGGAAGCCCTTCAAAACAAAGTTATTAAGGCAGCTGCTCTGGATGTGACATACCCTGAACCTTTGCCAAGGTAGGACATGTATTTAAGTTAAATATAAATGAATGTGTGTGTGTGTGTGGTTCAAACTAAGACCAAGTTTGTGACCACGTGAGAATTTACATAATTTTGTTAGTAGGAGCACATGATGTAGGTGCACTAGTCCTACTGAAACGGTGTCCCCAAGGCTTCAGTCCTAGCCAAACAAAATTCACATTGACTCATCTGGAGGATTTGTTGCATAAAAAACCCCACAAGCTAGGCAGCAGTTTGAATGCCTCTGAGTATACTTGGGTCCTGCAATTAGGGTTTTTTTTAATTCTTATTTTAAATATTTCCCTGGCTCCCTTCAGATGACAAAGTAACAGGTGAATGCTCTGTGAGTGACTAGTTCAGTATTTCTTTTCCTTTCCCAGGGATCACCCTTTGTTAAAGCTGAAGAATGTCATAATAACTCCGCACATTGGAAGTGCCACCAAAAAGACACGCCGCCTTATGATGGAAAACATGATGGAAAGCATACAAGCGGGTCTCACAGGTCTTCCTATCCCTAATGAAGTATTACTGTAATGCGGTCTTATTTGCTGTTAATGCCATTAGTGTTTATCCTGGTGTGAGGAAACAGTAATTTGATCACTCTTCATGTAGCGATCCCATGTGCGTTACACAGATGAAACGTTATCATGCGTGGCTTTAATTCTTTTAACTAACCGAAAGCGATGCTGTGTGGAAAACTGCTGCACTTTGCAGTGAACTTCAATGAAAAACTCTTAAGATTCCAGAGTTTCGCGTCGGTGTAGTTTATTTTAAATGGCCCGTCAGTGTAACACCGAACCAAGGTCATTTAAGTCGTGTCCGGGTGCCCAGCGGGCCGCAGGCAGGGTGTCCGCCCGGCGGCTCCTCGGGGAACGGCTGGCGCGGCCCTTCCGCCGGGACACGCAGCAGCCGGGTTTATTCTCGCTTCCACGACAGCCCAGCCGGCCGCCCCGCTCAGCACGGCGGTGCCTGCCCAGGCGGCTGCGGGAGGCAGCT